TAAGTTGGCACCATTAATTTCACGAATATTCTCAACAACCATCTTTACTACGAAATCAAACTACCCACTTTAGTCTTGTACTACTATTCTCTAAATGCGTTCAGTAAGATTAACTCAATGTATTTAGGAATCCAATAAAGTTTAGAAATGATTTATTTAATAAAAAACATTAAAACAGGTTGATACTATATTATGAGTTTAAACTTATTTCAGAGTTTAATACTTCATAATTAAATACGAATTGTTCTTAGCTTAATTCTAATATTTTGAATTATACCATTGGTGTGAATTAGATAAAAAAACACATAGAACCTTCTTCTGATATTCTCCACAAAATTGACTTCTACGGTTCTTATCATACATATGGGAACGGATGTACATATTTAAGATCAATGTGTGTAGTTGATAGCTACTCACCACGACGGTTGATAAATGGTGCGTTAGCATTATTCAGCGCCTTTCTTGCAATGCTGTCTCATAATGACTCGTGCATTTTTTAATTCCAAGATCGTGCACATACCATACGGATCATAAAGTCTCTACTGCATCTAAAATGTCCTCCTCCAAAAGCTATCTGAGCCGGAATGAGAACAAAAAGGCAAACAGTATAGAATTAGTTAAGATTACACGAGATCTCGAGAACTTCAAAAGAAGCAAAAATTAATGAAGAAGTAGAAGATTGTAAATGACTTCACTTAATATTTCCAATGATACTTAGTTCTGGGTACTGATTTCCGGACTGTTCCATTTCGAATATGCAACGATGAGGTGGAAGATATTACAGGGCTGCTCGACTTCTTATCAAAAAATAAGGAAGATCTGACGATATATTAACAACCTCTATAAACGCATAATTTATGAAGTTCGAAGTGAGTTGTGTTACTTAAAAAAATTTATTGATTAATCGTATTATATATTTAAGTATTAATAATTATTGATTTGTTTACGTAAAATAACATAATTGATGACAATACGACGAACGGCTTCTTCATTACTTTAAGTAAAATCTCATTTATATTGATGCAAATACTATTTAATTATTACTATTTAGTTATAAATTTAATTATTTTATTAGTATTAATAATTATTATTTTGAACTGATTTATGACTAGATTAAACATAAATCATCATAATTCATAAAAATGTTTCATGAAACAAGCCAGAATGACAAATGATGACACACTGCGAACGGCTTTCTCATTCAGGATGTCGGCAGTAAGAGATAAAGTAATGATAAAATTCCAAAAGATATGGCACAGCGTATCTGTGTGGCGTGCGGTGATGCGCGTGGCTTTATATTGTGGTCACGTGATCATCACAGGTTGTTTACTTTTTTCGGTCCGTAACCTCAAACCGAAAGTGACGAAACCATGAAAATCGTAAACATAATTATGTGCTGTAATTACATAAACATCTGAAGCGGGCTCATTATAAAAATGTTACATGTGCAACTATATAAATGTACGAATATATCACGCATAATCATTTTCATACACTTCAAGTAAAATTAGAATGTAGTTGTCAGCTCGTCGTCACTTGAAATGCCAATGCCGTAATCTCAGCCACAGCGAATAAGGAGATTCTGCATCCGCGCAGAGTTGTCGTATTGAATTTAAAACAATCAAAACGCAATTCTCTGGTAACGCAATTAATCTGCTGAGGAGTGTCGAGAGCGAGACTAATTGTGATGTTCGGGAGTCGCTTTGACGACTTTAAAATTAATCCGTTGGGGGAAGGGGAAGCGGTTGTTGGGTTAAACAGCGTGCTAGATTACGTGCAGCGAATATATGTAATACACTTTTGCAATCGTAGTATGTGCCTAAAATCATGAAGTGTGGGTAGTGAATGTGATTAAAAATTCTAATCTTCTTCTTCTAAGGATCTATGACCTTAAAATGAACGTCTTGGCCTGCTTAACTATCCTTTTCCATTTTCTCCTAGTCTTCGAGTGCTCGATCCAATTTTCAATCTTCATTTTCCTGGTGTCTTTGATAACATCTTTCCATCGATATTTAGGCCGTCCTCTTCTCCTTGTTCTCACTGAATTCCTGCTAAAGGTCTTGTTCACTATTCTGTAATGAGACATCCTATTAAGATTACCACGCCAGCTTAAATTCACTTTGATAAAATGTAATATGTTTCTGTATACTGTCCACTTCGAAATTGTTCCTAATCCACCAATCTCCATTGGGCACCTTAACTTGTCCAAATATCATCCTTGCAATCCGCCTTTCAAAAACCGCAAGACTCTGCGCATCCTTTAATTCTAATATTGCTAAGCATTTATTAACAGAGCGGCATACAAGTAGATCTGAATACACATAGATACAACAGTAAATTTAACTGTACACAGATCTCGAAATTCTGAACATTTCTTACCACTAGGGCCGTGAAGTAAAGTATTCAAAAGAAACAGAGCTCCCAAATATGTATTAGAAGGTCCGGAAATGTGTTGTAGTTAACATAACTCTCAGGACCCTTCAAAATCCAGGTTGCGACGACTAAGAAGAACTATTTTCGATTTGCGCCGATCGATGTGCCAGAAAATTATCTGTAAAACGAATTCTTACAACAAAAATAAATTAGGAATAAAAATATATTCAACCTTCCAAGATACTTTTCCACAGTCGACATTTTGCTAATTAAAATAATTAATCTCTCTAGAAAATGTGTCTCCTATAGGTGCTGTGGAACAAGTTTTCTAAAATCAACATTCTCCCGAGTCCCTACAAAACATAAATGCATAGTCGGAAAAAATGTGGAGATCGGTAAAATAAAGGAGAGCTGAAAATTCCTATTCTATGTTATAATTTTAAAAAATTGAATTAAAGTTTATTGTATTTTTGATTTAAGTGCAGAGTACAAAACACGAACAAGTAAAATAAAATAAACAAATCTTAGAAAGAAACAGATGCAAAAAAATGTAAACTCTCCATGCAGAAACAGAAATGAGAACTCAACAGTAAACAAAGTGTCCCATGCAGAATGATGGGCACGTGGATTCTTTTGGGACCCCAAAGATATTTTCTATCTTGTAGTGATTGAAGTATTTGTATCTACGTCATAAGCATTCAAAATTAGTCTTATCGTTGATTTTGTACAATATGCATACATTACAATTTAAATTAATTTATTTTCTGCTTCATAAATTTGCCAGAAACATAAAATCTCTAAGAACCAGCATTTGGGGTCCTTGAAGACCCCTACGTAAATTTCTGTTCATTGTTGTATTGAGTGCATAACATTATATTGAGTGTTATTTCGTTAAAATATTTTCATTGTGTATTGGTGGGACTGTGCAACGGTGTCGTAACGTATGATATTGCGCGTACGGTCCTTGACTGCTCTAAACTTGAAATATAAATCATGCGTTTCTTATATTCTGTATCTTCATTTTCTGTTCTCATTAGTCTTTCGTTGACATTTGTCGAGTAGTGTGACTGTTTTCTAAGTAAGAAAAGAATTCTTGAAGTATTAGTGACTACAAACACATGACGGAGAACGAGTTTCTACTGATGAAGGATCTTGTGATTCGCAGCGCATGGGACAAGTGATAATGAGGAACATCGGTCTACTTCTGACTGTAGTAGTGATGAATATTTGCAGCCGAGCAGAGTTGAAGTTAACACATGGAAGAAAATGATAATGAAGATGATTACATCGATGAGATAGGACTGCGAATCTCCGAGTTCTGAAACAACTCAACATCAAAGAAGCGGAATGAAATGGAGTAGTGAAATTCTTAGATCACATCAAATTTCATGGCAGAACATTCTTAGAAATAAACCTGGACCAAGAGTAGAATGTTCGCTAAAAACGCTCCAAAGATTGTTCTGACAACGGATTTCTTTCTGATATTGTAACGGACAAAATAAGAAAGCCAAGCGAGATCTATCAGAAATGGAAGAAAGCTAATTGTGTTGCAGCATCTAAATTGCGAAAGAAAATTGATGAAATAAAAATTAGAGACTTACATTAGATTATTGATACCCGCTGAAGCATACTGATCTGAACGTAAAAATTTATAAGAATAATGGAAAATAGATGACATTAGACCAGTTTTCCGGGCAACATCGAGATATAAAAGATTTCAAGTTATTACTTTTTTTACAATTTTATATCAAACAAGACCCCAAAGAAGAAATGTACGGGAAATGTTTATTCAGATACTTTCATATACTCCATGCTATAATATTACAGTGGATGATTATCTAGTAGGATTCAGAGGAAGGTACCTTGTCCTTCAGTAAATGAAAAGCAAAACTGAGAAATACTGAATTAAAGTTTGGTGGGCTTGTGACTCTGGTATTTTTTTCCAGTCAAAGGCTAAGTTTATTTAGGAAAGCAACTAAATCAACAAAGAGATATCGTATAAACCAGGGTAATCGTGTTTTCAAGGAAATGACCGTAAAGTGGTTGAATAAAATATCAATAAATTAATTACACAATAAATACATAAATGTTTTCTTTCAATCATTATGTGTGAATACATTTCTTCCCTCAATAGTATTAACTTAATAAGGCGATGCACTTTTCAACGTGCCTATGAGAATTAAAATTTGTAATAGTTCATTTTCTAGCTGCAAATTAAAAAAATAACTAACTGCGGAGAATACGCTTTGAGAACCACTTCTCGTGGCATTCTCAGAAATTGGCGTTCTATTATGTTTAGTTACAATCTGTTAAAACATATTTTTCAGAGCTAAAAAGAAACATAAAAACATACTGATTGCGTTACAAACCACATCACCAATTTTCTGTTGTGCGAACGGATAAAATATGCTTCTGGTGTTACTACAAAGCAATGACGCCGCAGAGGAACATTATCTGAGAATTCAGACTTGTAAATATATATCGAATGTGTCTGGAAGTTCAATGTTCTTAGTATTTGATGAAACTAATGTAATCATCATAGACTAGGGAAATATTTTATTCATTTTGTTAATCTTAATTATTTTAATTTTGGTTTGGTTGCCTTTTGATAGTAGTCATATGTTTCAATGGATAGTGTGTCTACATATTTGAATCGTCTTAATGTATTTATGGGAATAACAAATGATGAAAATCTTTTACTCACCACGTTTTTAAGACCACGTTACTCAAACTTCCTATCAAATATTTATATCTTCATGTAAGAATAATACAATTCCCCTGAAAGTGTGTTTGCATTTGTCGTGCTTTAATTTAATTTATTTTTTTGTCAAAAAAGATCAAAAACTCTATGTGACCTATGGGAGAGAAGATTATCTGCACACATTTTCTTGAGTTCCACAATCCCTTTTCAACATTTTAACTATGAATACTTGAAATATGAATCAAAGATTTGAAAAACAAACAAATAAAATAAAAAATAAAATGTTTAAAAAAAGCGCGAAATTAGCAACATTTGAAAAACGAGACAATTTTGTTCCCGATTTATAGGAAACTTATTTTCAAGGGTAAACGAGCTGCAGATTTGATTTTTCTGCATTACTAACAAAATAGTAACACATCCTTAGCTCTGCTCCTACCACTACAAGCAAAAGGAGAGCCCAACAAAACTTGCGCATAGTGAAGCTCCTTTTATGTCGGGAAGAAAAAAAAGGGGGTTTCATATCCTGGTTAGCAATACCTTCTCGTGTTACGATTAGCAGTCATCAGAAATGTAACTTTATTACTATACAAATGCGCCTAGAAGATGATAATTGCTGAAAACATTATTAACGAAGAAATAATAATTGTCGCTTTAACTTCAAGAATTCATAACCATGTTGTGTTGTAACATTGTTTTCATTGTGCTAAAATAAATCGATTTTTTTATATTTTTTATATATTTGAAACATATTTTTATCAATGATGCACGCGTTAGAAAATATAATTAACAAAACTATTTAGTGAAGTAAATTTCATTACCCGCTTGAAGTTGAATTCTCTTGTAAGAAGCCTGAAAACATCTTGGTGAAAACAAGCCGAGTTAGAGAAACAAACCAGAAGTGAATATATTGGCATTAATATTAATGATGATGTTGATGATGATAGTGATGATGATAATGACAATGGTGATGCAGAATTTGGCTAAACGAACACTGAAAACAACTTTATCTTCTTCCCTTTCCGTTACGTAACTACAATATAATATGAATGAATATTACAATTCATTCTATTCATCCAGCTGTGCTGATGCCGCAAAAACATGCTTTTCGATTGGAAGATCGTGGTTCAGTGACCCTCTAATAGGTAACGGTAAAGTCCAAATGCTTTAATGATAAGGAGCCAATTCACTCATCGGTAGAATACGCATTACAGTTTCTCCCATGTTAACGTCAGTTATCGAACATATCCTTCACCATTGAGCAGTGTCTAGATAAGAAGGCGAAAAACAATATTCTCTTTTTATAGCTGGGAATCGGTTTAAGCACCTCCACGTGCACCACTGTGTCGAGCACACAAATCGATTGATAAAGGCTCTCGAAAACCGATCTCGTTACAGGAATAATGAAATGGATAAACGGAATTTCTTCAACGAATTAAAAAAGACATTGAACAAAATATATCCAATTTTTCCCCTGCGTATCCTGAAATCAGTTGTCAAATAATATTTCTAAAATACATATTTCTAATACTTACTTGATGCCGTTTACACAAAACGTTAGCTCGGATACATGGGTAATAATTATTTAATAATTTGAGACATTTAAATGTTTTAATGCAAATTATTTATAGCAAAGATCGTCATGTTGGTTCATATTGTTGTTTGGCAATATTTTTGTGATATAAATACGAGTATTTATCTAGTTGTTTTCGAAAAGGTTGATAACCTTTGATATAACGCGTTTGATACCTACAAGTTGTGTGTAGGCATCTTGTTAAATAACTATAAAATCGAAAACTAATTTTCTTTAGGACTGGAAATACTACTACTTCTGTATTATCTGCAAATGTAATGTATTCCCATCTCACATATGGCATAATATCCTACGAAAACGCATCCTATGGTTCCCAGATTTGTGTATTACAAAATCAATTGTACGAATAAAAGCAACTCCATCCTTGAATTTGCTGGAAGATCCTCATTATTGAGCTTGAAATATTACCTTTACCTTTTCTATTCATTTAATAACCAGCATTTTTTGTCGAACCTGGTTTTCTCAAGGATTTGTTTACAGTTCAAAACTATTTATTAGTATAGAATGATAAAAAAATTACTCTAGAACTTGTACATAGTAAATAGACGTAGCTGTCCCGGTACAATGCGGGAAAAGATAGACATTAAATGAAGGGAATGGTTTATTTACAAGCATTAATGGAATCACTACCACTTATTGCTTTCCTGGAATAGTTTCTTCCCACTTTAACAAAAATCTATTAAAATATTGTTTCTTTTATCTCTTTCTGAGGGTCTTACGGAAATGGGACATTGCACTGACATTGGACATATTAATTTCTTGTACGAGTATTTCTACATTCTTGTTTGGGTGCTTATTCTCTACAAAATGCATTTCTCACATTTTACAGATATCCCAAATCTTGTTTGAAGATAGTAAAATTTAGTGTTTGAGATAAGTGCTATTCACACTATTTCGCTACAAGAAATGAGGGTGGAGAAAATCGGCTCAATTGTCAATGTGTGATATCAATGACTTCTATTCGTATTGTAAGCCTCTTTGTTTTCCAGTTAAATTTTTCCTATTTTTTCACATTTTTCATATTTTTAAGGTTCTGTCTGTCTGTACTGGCACAACGGACTGATGGAGCTAAGGCCTACCAGACTGCAAGGTTTTACTAAGCATTCATTTACAACACATTACCAAATTACCATTACAAAACTGATTCTGCTCAACTTTGAATTCTGTCTAGACTAATGAATTACAAAGAATGACTGATGAATTAGAAAATCTACAAATTTAACGTAACGATGCTTTTACGCATCAGCCCTTCAAAAATCAACGTTCTAAGTTTAAACAAATCGGCACTAATCTGCATTATTATTAAGAAAACTAAAATGTTATTAAAAATTATCAAACAAAACTTACGTCTCAAATAATAATTCGTTCAAAGGTATGTTATGTTTTATAAATCTTTGGATGAACTTCAAATAAATGAAACTCAAAATCTACTGTCGTACCCAGAATCGTATCGTAGCCAAACCTAATCTGAGGAACTCCACAGGCTGTTTACATCGTGTGAAGTTCATGGTTGGTACCATTGAACCTTTAAAGCCTTATCTGTTCTGGCGATAACATTTGGAAAGAGGATATTTTGTAAAGAGAATTAGAGCAATGACAACTTGGCATCTCTGCCATCTCTCGGCGGATAACGGTATTAAACCAAATTTGGCCTGGTTAACTTTCGAGCTAAGTGAAGAGAGAGTGGTGTGAAGATAAAAATAAATTATTTTAGGAATTCGTTTTCAATTCCGTCGTATCGTAGCCGAGAATACGAGTGTAATATTTTTTATTAGTTATGCAGTATTTTTTTTAGTTTCTTGTGTGGAGGAAAATTGTTTGGCATTTTAAAATTGATTTGTTATCGAAACGAAACTACAGAAAAAGAGATTTGAGGTCAACTTCTGCGATCAAAATAAGTTGAGCAAATTTTCCTTGAATCCAAAGACGAACAAAACGAATGATGAAAATATACGTCCAACATATTTCAAAACAAAAAAAAGTCGATCATGTATCAACAATAATATATATACACATATTCTTAACAAATAAAATATTTAACTCTCCACTAAATATTCTCATAACATGTGTCAGAATTATGAAGAAACTGTATTGCTTTTATCCGATTAGCCATAAACTAAAAATAAAGTTTGAAATCAAATCATTGCACCTATACTTACGTCATACGTTAAAGGAAAAGAAAGAGATAGAATTCCACGATTCTGACATTTTAACACGCGTCACTATCAACATTCATTATCTTCTACGTCACTCACACGTCCATTTTCATCTTGACACTGCATGTAGGCCAATAACGTATATGTTATCATTCATTGTACATGATACCGATGTATCTTTCATATCCTTTTCTTGCAGAAAATATGTCAAGAGATTACGAGATTCTGTTATTCCGATTAGAAATAATTCTGAAATATCCGAATAAATTAAAATTCAAGTTACTGCCACCGTTTCAATTTCCAAAATTACATCCAGTACCTTTCTCACAACTTCTATTTTAATGTGCAAAATGTTCCTTGAATCGTTTAATATCAAGCAAGCTTCAAATATCCTCTAACCGCTATTTCGAGACCCCATTATCCACTTTAATCCGTTGTAACTACTAGAAAAATCTTTTAAATCAAACTGAGACATTTATTTTTATTATCGTCAGGTTCTGTATGTGGTCTGCAATTTCGTTAAATATCTAGAGGGGAAAAGATTATCTGCGCACGTTTTCTTGAGTTCCAGAATCCCTTCCCGTCATTTTAACTATAAATAGTTGAAAGTGCGTAAAAGTTGTAAAAGTTTAACATGTAAATAAATAAATACATAAATACATAAATACATAAATACATAAATAAATAAATAAATAAATAAATAAATAAATAAATAAATAAATAAATAAATAAATAAATTTCAAAAATCGTAAGATTAGCAATAGTTGAAAAATAGTCATTTTCGTTTCTGAGTTATAGAAAACTTATTTCCGTCGGTACACGAATCGCAAGTATAATTTTTTTGCATTGCTAACAAAATAGCAACTCGCCCTTAGCTCTACTCAAAACAAGCAAAAGCAGAGTTCAACAAAACGTGCGCATAGTGAAGCTACATTATTTATTATCTGTGAAAGCTTTAACAGAACGATGTGCAGTGATTATTCAAAAGTTAAATATCAAGCCCTTATGGTCACGCTATATCCGGTAAAGCAAATCGTGTGTATGTGTGTGTACCTCCCCCTCCTACAAATGATTATAATGTGTGATTTTTTGTGTGAAAGGATATATTCGAGAGACAATTGCTGAAAATTACGCTTACTTACATCTGAACAATGCTTCAATAATAATCTTTGTATTTAAAAATACT